AACAACAACAAATAAAATGTTATGGGGCACTTAATGGTTCAAACCAGTAAATACTATGTAATAATTTGTTTTCCATTAATACAAATATACTTATGCAAGAAAAAGACTAACAGTACAACTGATCTAGATGTTCTAGAAACATCTGCAGGATGCCATGTTTACTCATTAACTCACATAATGTTAATTTGTAGGTGCTGTCCAATTTTCTGCTGCTTTGCACCTCCATGCTGCCTCTTCTGGGAACATAATTAAATATTAAAGAAGACAGGGCTAACACAGGTTGTATTCTGAGCTCAGGGGAAGGCTCTGATCCCGAAGTCACTAGAATGATGTATGGACACAGGAGCAGGAGATCGTGTTGCAGGTTCCCAACTTACATTTTTAAATATGGAGAACAGGCAGAGACTGGCGATTCTTCAAAGGGAGAATGAGTCTCCTCTAGCGGGAATGTCCTGGCAGGGCTCCCTGTAATGCTCTTCCCGCGTGCCCAGGACACAGTAATGATGTCCCATATAACTGCCCAGTGAATCACTGCTTCCCATTTAGGCTGGCAGCTGGGAGCTGCTCAGCCAGCACAAGTGGAAGGGGAAAGTATTTTGGGAGAAGTGCTGTAAAGTTTTAAGAAATGGCCCCATCAGACTGAGAAGATTAGGAATGCTACATGTATTTGCACAGATTAACAAATGTTTGCCAGATTGGGCAGTATTGATTGCTTATATTGGAAATTAATTTTCTTTAGATATGTTCACCTGCTTTGAGCATTAGAAGTTAAAGTCTACTTAAAGTAGGTTGTGCTTGTGCTCTGCTAAGCCAATGTAGGAAGTATTACGTTTCCCATTAGAGCAGCATTTTCTAGGTTGCCTTTGAATTTTGACTGTCTCTTATGGAAATGTTACAGAAGGGACTAGAAACACCAAAAGAAAGGACTCGTGCAGGCCAGCACTAGAGGGGCACCAATAATGCATTTTAAAGCCAATATTACTTTTTAAAACTTGTACATCTTGTGGCACAGAGAAGTTGTTATGAGTTGGAAGGAGTCGAAAGCAGCACTAACCTTTGTTATGAGATACGCAGACTGAAACAGCCTTTTACGGTGCCTGAGCCACTTCTCCATTTCAGGTTGGAGTACAAGTGAATAAATGATCCTGAGCTTGCAGAGGGTATCCCCTGTGCATTTCCCCCTACGAGCTCTGCTGTTATTTTGGTGATGAACATTTTAAGCTCACTGTCAGTGGCAAAGTATAAATTTACCCTGTGTCTTTGGCAGATATATCAGATTGTCTTGTGACTCCTTGGTGAGTAGCTGTATTGGCAAGGGTGGTAACTGATGCTTTCTCAGTTCACTTGATCCCTATTGTCACATGTGAGGCTTGTTATTATAGCATCCTTCTTATTTTATTGCCTCAAGGCAATTGCTTCAATGTATCCCAAGTAAGTTATCATTACGCCCACCTACAAAGCATGTGTGGGCTTAGTCGGGAGTGTGGTGCTGTTCAGCTCTCAGAAACATCACTTCCATCAAAATATGTCCTTCCTTATGCGTATATACGAATATTTGCTCTTCCAAGCAGACATACTCTGTTGTTTTTTGGCATTAACTGCACTCATTTGATAGTTAGTGAGGGATATTTCTTTCTTCTTCCACCCCCTAGGTTGCGATTCTGCTTGTCAAGTGTTTATCAGAATCAAGTGGCCTCAGCAGTTTGTTTCTTGGAGTACACACTTCCCATCCCAGATCGGTGAATCCAAGTTATGCAGACTGTGATAGTGGCAGTCTTCACAGTGAGGCCATGGGTGCGTGGAACATAGAGCACCCTTCTTTTTCTAGAGTCAGCGTTTCCAAAATAGAGCTCTGACAGTCGTGGGCACCTGATAGCACATGGAGAATAAATGAACCCAGGGGACTGCTAACGTTCAGGCCTCCTGCCTGCATTCCCTTCTCTGTGGTTTCTTATCTAAGAATGTCAGCAAACTTTATTTTGTACTGATAGCTTTAGAAAGGAGGATTTTATTTATTTATTTCTTTTAGAGGCTGCCTTTAGTAAATAAATTCTAAAATGAAGTCTCGCTTTTCAGGCGCTAGACTTTTGTATCCCTCCTGGTATGCAATTCTCTGCCTTCGGTCCTGCCTTATTTTTTTCAGGGCAATCTGATATGCCTGCACAGTTCAGCAGAAAAGGAATTTGCTTTGTCTAAGCAAATTTGCTTTAAATCCTAATGGATTATAAATTTGGAGGGTATTATATGCTGATTGTATCTTGATCTCCAGGACTTCCACATGCTTTAAATTGTTTCTTAATAACTATTAATAGTACTGTTTGTTGAGGCCAATTGCAGTTTAGGCCCTAAGCAAATGGGATCGCAATAAGAATGGAAGGATGGGAGATGTAAAATGTGGATTGCGCAAAGTATTAAAATATGCACGTGAAGTTTTGCAGCAGCTTTAGTACAGTGACCTCACTGCAGCAGGTAATAAATGCTTTCTTAAGTAGCATCTCTATAACTATGTTTAATCCCAGGAAAAAATGCCAGTTTGGAAGGTACCGGCTTGTGAGATTGTACACAGTCTTCTACAAAGTCCTGCAGTTACAGTTTTAATGAGCCACAAGACAGTGGTGGTAAATGGATAATAGTATTTCATGAACAGAGAGAGTGCACTGGTAAAACATACAGCTCTGAAAAACTGTAGTTTACATAGACAATTCTTTGTTTTAGATACAGAAGATAAATTTAGACTATCTAGATTTAGATAGGTGAAAATTCAGAATCTATGCAGAGTGCAGTTCTTGAGTAGAATTTAATTTATCTCCTGAATGGGGGTTTTGTCAGTAACCAGCCTTTTCATTCAAAATGATACATTTCCAATGACTAGCCCCTAAGCAGCTGTAAAGAACCATAAATAACCTATAGATTTAAAAAGGCAACCCCTAATGCAGGCTGTTTATTGAAAGCAGTTTGACTCAGCAGTAATAACATCAGGACAGAAGAGGCATTTTTTAGCTATTAGGAGACAGTAGTGAGTGCTGGAACATAGGACATTTGTTTCTAGTTTGCTACAAAATCCATTGTGTTACTGTGCCTCAGTCTGTCCATCAGCAAATTCAGTGCCATAAAAACATCCATTTCTGAGAGGAAATATTTAAATTATTTGTAAACTCTTTGGAATATTTGGCTAAAACTATGTTCTGCATCTGTCAATGTGGCATAGAGTCAATTGAATGTACTATTGTAAAGGCAAAGTAGATTAGAGGAGAGGTTAGAGGTAGCCTGGTCTGATTCGCTTTTATGGTATTACATGTATGCATGTATGTATGAGCTAGGAAGTGCATGATTCTGTTTTCCCTTAAGAAGTTAAACAAGAAGTAGTTTTTATCGCACTACAGAATCAGGTTTTTATTTTATGACCTTTAGACTGGTGGGATCATTGGCATTAAGTCCTTAATGAAACAAAAAATGGGAAAACCTCATTTACTTGAGTGATGTGGACTGAAAGGGTCCACCCTAAATGCCTAAACGAGGAGATGGAAATGGCTGATGTTTTCTACCAAATTACCCTTGGAGTTTCCCTGGGAGGAGCAATCCTGCAGCGTGCAGCAGCATTGCTGCTAGGCGTACACCCGTCCTTTGGGGAATTTCTGGAAGTCTCATTCATTTACTAGTTCTGCTTTCTAAGAGTTACTGTCAAATTGCCATGTGAAGTTCATGTGCTTTTACCCTTGGGTGCTTTCAGCTATTTTCAGCGACTTTTTTCTAGATTTTTATAATATTGCTTCTTTTGCTTGCTCTTATAATATTGCTATCTTTTCCAGTATTTGCAAATAACTTAAGCTGGTGTTAAGCCTATTAGATACATATCAGTAGAACAGGGCACTGCTGGGGGCAAATTAGTCTTATAAACTAGATCCGAACCATATAGTGATCCAAACCAAATACCAAATGCCATCCAGAGTTTCCACAGCATCATGGCCAGCCCGGGGGGAGAGATGCCTAATATCCCTGCTGTGATGCTTAGCCCAGCCTGGTTTCTAGACTCCCATGGGACTCCCCAGCAGATCCTGTAAATGGAATAAAGGTGTAGGAAGAGATTTGCAGAGATGAAGCTGCAGGTTGCCAGAACAAATCACATGTCCTGCAGGCTGGTCCTTGTCCGCTGTGGGAGCTAACTGGGGGAGAAGAGAGCCCAGCAAACTGCAGGAATTCTTCACATAAATTGAATCAAAGTTAACAACAATCAGAATGTAATTCTCTAACAGAAGTTTGCATTTTTAAGAATAAACTGCTTTTGAAAATTCAAGCTCTATCTTCTTAAAGCATGGAAAATATCCAGACTATCCAATACTTACAATATTTAGTTCCAAGGAGAACAATATTGTATACTGTTTCTGGGATACCAGAAAATAACTAGTCTAAGAAACCAAGCAATAAAAAGAAGGGCCAAATTAAATTTCCTACTGAAAAAAAAAAGTTTTAGGGTATATTTTCTTTTTGAAACCATTTTCATATATGGTTTAAAAAATATTGCTCATTTGAAATAATAAAGAAGGGAAATAAATTTCTGACAATCTCAGGTAGCTAAAGTCTAATTTACCAAGATGTATAGCCTTGTTATATATCTAGAATTAAATAACTGGGTTGCAAGTGTATAAATACTTGTTTTTTAATATCCTTACAGTAACTGAAGAGTAAGAAGAATTTTTCACCCGGCTGAGAAATAGTGGGTATTTAAAACAGGTTAATATTAACTACTAAAGATGCAGACTGTAGCACACAGTATTGCCTCTAATCAATAAATTCTTTGGATCTTCATAAACATTAGGGATAGGAATTTTGAACTCACCTGTATCTATGGGGTGAATGGGATTTGGATATCCAAATCTCTTAGGCAGTTCTGACAATCTGAGATGCAAAGTTTACTCAACTGTCTTAGCATTTTTGTTTTGGAAAATGACATGTTGACAACTTTTATTTTGTATTGTTTTGTTTTTGTTTTGCTATTACAGACGTTTACAGCCTGGTGCAATTCCCATCTCAGGAAAGCAGGCACACAGATTGAGAACATTGAGGAGGATTTCAGGAATGGCCTCAAACTGATGCTACTCTTGGAAGTTATCTCAGGTTGGTTAAAATAAAGTTTGCTATGTATTTGCAACATGCTAACTGAAACAGTATTTTAAAGAAAAAAAAAGCTAACAATTTAAAACAGTGAACACAAATCATGTAGGCTTAAAAGGGACAGATGAAACATGTTGGAAAGCAAAAGGGAGAGAAAAAAAAAGTCTAAGTTTTTCTTGCCTCCAAAGTCTTGTGTTTCCTTGTGAAAATTCACAGTGTCCAGAGCTGGATTAGGAGCTTGGCAATCTGAACTTGCTTTTCTGATATCACAGTGTTGCTGAGCAGATCACAAATGCCTAAAAATTAAAGTATACTTCGGTTACAGATTCATTTTATTTCAGTTTTAATGTAAAACCTTTGTTTTGCTTTTAATGACCTAACTTGATGGACCAATGTCTTTAGAAGTGAGTGCCTAAAGTAAAATTCCTGGATAAATATTTAGTCACAAGTAAATGGTTTCATTTTTCAGAAGGAACATCCAAGAACTCCTTTTGACTAAGTCTTGCAAACTTACTATGTTACCCATGAACCCAAGTTTCACATATAAGGGTGAAAAGGGGAAAGAGGATTTTAAGGACATATTTTTAAAGAAAAAAAAGAACAGTTTATATTTTTGCTGGAATTTTCACTGGGGGCAGAAATATTTCAAATGACCATTATTCATGAAATGAAGAAATCATTCTTTTTGATGGCCATTTGAGAAGATAAGTTCATCCAAACATAGAAGCCCTTGGCAACATTACTCTCAAATTTGCTGGCCTGCTGTATTGGTTAAGGTTGAAGTGAGTCCAGAGGAGACACAAATGCCTGCAGCTGGTAGCATTTGGCCTTATCTAGCTCCTACCCAGCCTCTTTTCATCATATCTCCCAGCACAGCTCTCTTCCTCACCCTTGTTCTGCCTTTGTTAAAAGCCACTGGTCTTGGTCAGATTTGGAAGGATGCCAATCTGATGGATAGAAACCAGCCTCTCTTTGCAGTCAGGCAGGCCAAGGTGATGACTTCTTAGAAAACCTGCCTTATTAATATTTAGCTGCTCTGAAGCAGACAGAAATCTGTATGGAGAAAGCAGTCATATATCCTCCAGTTGTTTAGGGCAAAAAAAAAAAAAAAGTTCTGGTTTTACTGTTTTATCAGAAAGATCCAAATCAAATGTTTCAGCATTTGAATTTGCTCTTTGGGCTTTTGTTTAAAGGCATTCAACATCCTATCAGAAAAAATACCTGCTAGAATAGCTGCTAACTTTTAGCCAGTGTTCAGCACACATTCACTATGAGTTCTGATCACTTGGGTGTCTGTAGCTAGGTGCATGTAACAATAAGTACCTTATTATCTTGCAGGGGAAAGACTACCAAAACCAGACAGAGGGAAGATGCGCTTCCATAAAATTGCTAACGTCAACAAAGCTCTGGATTATATTGCCAGCAAAGGAGTGAAACTTGTGTCAATTGGTGCAGAAGGTATGTTGGAGAACTTGACAATACATTTTATATCCTAAGCAGTCAAGCCTGATAAAGACCACAGGCCAATTTGTGATGATCTCTGTATTTGGATAGCTCAAAAATCTCTTTTACTTTTGAAAGAAGGAGAGATGGACATGTGTGGACACCTGGAAAGGGACAGGGCTAGGTTTGGTCTGAGGGACCCTCTCAGATAGTTGCACACTGCATTGCATAATTATTGTCATACAAGGGAGTGATGTGACTGGTGTGATATCCAATTCATTTGAATTCCCCAGCCTAAATGTTTTCCCCTCCATTTTCATGACAGCCTCTGGCATGACCTTGGAGCAAAACTGTGACTCTAACCTCTGTATCATAATGAGAAGCATTAGCTACATTCTGCCCCCACATTGCTAGGTCTATTTAGGTGGCTTAGCGGACCTTCTCTTCCTTTTATCAGATTTCCTTGGTCTTATATAAATCTTTATTCTGGCTTCTAAACCTTGACCTCAGGGTGCTTACTGTGACTGTGACAAGAAGATTCATTGTGTGAGATGTGGGCATCTGTAGTAGTAACAGAAACATCTGTCAGCACCTGGTTAAACCACCATGGTTTAAGCAGACTCAGTTGATTCCTCAAGTGGACTTCACCAAATATGATCCCTTTCTAGGTGCAGAGTTCCAGCCTCCCAAGAAATTGATGTTTTCTGGCAGAGTGCCTGCTTGGGCTCATGCTTAATTTATTTTAGACTGAACTGAACAGTCTGCCTGAGTCCAAAATTCTCCTACCTATCTTTAGGCACATGAACAGAGAGAGACATTTTGAAGGAATATATCATCAGAAGGGAGAGCCAGGGAATTCCCCAAGGCAGTTCAAATCTCAGAAGGGCTCTGCTGTTTTGCTTGGAGGTGCCTGTCCCCCTCCATTGACTCTACAGAGAGTCAGGCAGCTGGATCCCTTGCTCAATTAAATGAGGTGCAGTGGAAGAATAAATAACTCCCGTAAATGTCTGCAGATAAAGGCTGTTCCCAGAGCTACGTGTCAGACAGACGGCAGAGGGCGCTGAAGAGACGCTTTATGCGTGGAACTGAAAATCCTGCTCAGAGGAGCCTGTTTAATAGCTGGCACGGAATTACTGGCAGTGCGTAGCGTGGCGCAAGCAAATAGTAGTTTTTGTCCTGTCATGCTGGGACTCAGGAGCTTCCTGACAGAAAGCAAGGCTATAGCAAAGGGAGTGGGATCCTGTGGTACAGAGTGGACATTCCCCTCTGACCACAGTTTGCAAAACAGGCTAGGTTCTTCAAGTAAGGCATTTAAGCTGCGATACATGAGCTCACAGCTGCTGCGGAGAGGAGCAGACTTGCTTTCTGCCATCCCATCCCCTGCATTTTGCCCTACATATTGCTTGTTCCTGCCAGGCTGTTTAGCAGGGAAGCGGCATGAGAGCTGTCGATACATCACCTGAGGGCAAAGCACCTGGTATAGCTCAGATCAACCATTAAAATTGTTTAAGCTGCCTCCCTGGCAGTGACTGGTGTGTTGTGAGAGGTAATTCCCTCTGAGAAAGAGGCAGTGACAAACAACTAGAGGCAAGGCAGTAACTGCTTCCAGCTGCTCAGCCAGTTGCTGTAAGGTGATGTCTGTCTATGCCCTAAATATTTTTTCCTGTATTTAACAGCATGCCTTAGTTGGTAAGCCAGGAGATCAAGGTGATGTTCTTGGCTGTGCTACAGGCTTTATTGCCTGTTTCTGCCATTCCAGATCTGTAAAATATGGGGATTAGAAGCAAAGCTTAATTCATTAGCATTTAAAACTCCTTTTAAATTCTTGGATGGAAGCACAGGAGCAAAATCAACTGTTACTCTCATAGCTTACGCACAGAGAGGAACCTGTCATTATAAGACATTGCACTATCTCAAGTATGGTTCCTCACCCGCATTAGGTTACATCCATGTGGGCAGGAGCAGAGGGATTTGTGTGCCTCCCACTGCTGCTCTAAGCAGGCTGAGTGCGAAGCCAGCCCTGGCGCAGCCGCAGTGGGTGCCCTGGCTGCTCCTGCCCTGTGCTAGCTGTGCTCCCCCGGGTGCGAAGCCAGCCCTGGTGCAGCCGCAGTGGGTGCCCTGGCTGCTCCCGCTCCCGCCCTGTG